GGGGTGAGTTTTAAAAATCTATGCTGAGGGCATGCAGCAGTGAGAAAGAATAAACTGATATGGAGTGATGTCCAGATAAAACTTACAGGAAAAAAAAACCTGAGACGTTCGCAGTCTGGAGAGTACAGCACCCTTGGTGTGAAAAGGAAGGGAAGGGAGAGATTTTTATTGACTTGAATTGCCTAAAAGATCTCTGCAAGGGAAAATCTGAAACCAACAGCTGTGGTTGCTTGTCTGGGGTGATGGGAGCAGGGCACAGGGTGTTGGTGGGTAGGCATCAGAGGTAGCAGAGAATTGGGAGGGGGCCAAAATCAAAACACAGGCTGGGCCACCCAGAGAGGCAATGAGGTTCTCTGTCCACCCTTTCTTCACTCAAGGAGAGCAGAGGTTGCTGTCTTTCTGGACAGTCGCTATAAGCCCTGCCTGTAAGAGGACCTGACCTTAGGAAGTCTAGCTGCTTTCCCCCTGCTCTGAGCCTGGTGCCTGCTTGGGGGCATCCCTGAGGAATGAGAAGGAATTGATGGCATAGAAACCTAGTCGTCATCTCCAGCCATGCAGACGAGAATCCCCTGAGGAATTTCTGCAAACATGGATTCCCAGGCCCCACTCCCAGGGTTTAATCTGGGAGGGACTCAGGCATTAGCTTATTTTTAAGCTCCCCGAGCAATCTGAGTGAGCATCCAGTGTTGAGAAACACTGATCTTGAGATAGAAACACTAGACTTGAAATCAGGTGACCTAGCTGGAGGTGCTGTCAGCCTTGCTGAACTTCAGTTTCCTTGCCTGTGAAAAAGGGGCGATCACACGGCCTCCTGGGTTTTGGGGATTGACAGAGCTAACGTTCGTATGCGTTCTCTGCAGGCTTCACATGCTCTGCAAATGTGGGTCATTCTCATGGGGGGGTCTTTGTGGGCAGTCTCACAGTCACACAAAATTCTTTAGAATGTTTCCAAATCTAAAGAACTATTAGCCACTTTCTAGAGCCCTTTCCAGGTGCCCTCACCTCTGCTGAGCTGCCAGAATCTGCTTTGAGTGTGCCTTGTGGGGGGCTTTACCCTACAGAACTCCTTTCCACCAACAGGGTCACTTTGATTATTTCCAGAGAAGCTTTTTGAAGAGCATCAGACAAACCATGAGCAGAGCCCTCTCTACGTAGTTCTGTGAGCAGATGAAACTGATGGGAAGTCCATCTGCCCTCCTTTCCCCCAGCTGCTCACCCTCTGCAGAGGGCAGGACCATTTATGGCTGGAGGGAGACCCTGTTAGAGAAGGGTCTTAACTTTGGAGGTGGGAAATGTCTATGACTTGATGACTTTAAGTGTCTGCCTCCATGGCTAGGGGGAGTTTCTTTTTTTCTCATATGTGTTTGTGAGTGTGTGTGTGTGTCTATTAGCAAATATGTGTGTGTATGTACATTAGTGTGTATAAATTAGCAGTGTTATATTAGCAAACCAAATTAAAAAATATATTAAAAGGATCATTCACTATGGCCAGGTAGATTTATTCCAGGAATGCAAGAATTGTTCAATATCCACAAAACAGTCAACATGATACCCTATATTAACTAAAATAAGGATAAAAACCATATGATCATCTCAAAAGATGCAGAAAAAGCGTTTGACAAAATTCAACATCAATTCATGATAACAACTCTCAACGAAGTGTATGTAGAAGGAACATACCTCAACATAATAAAAGCCATATAAGACAGACCCATAGCTAATATCACACTCAATAGTGAAAAGTGAAAGCTTTTCAGGAAAAAGACAAGGATGCTCCCTCTCACTGCTTTTATCCAACAGGATACTGAAAGTCCTAGCCATGGCAATTAGACAAGAAAAAGAAATAAAAGGCATCCAAATTGGTAGCAAAGAAGTAAAACTATCACTATTTGCAGATGACATGATGCTATATATAGAAAACCCTAAAGATTCCAACAAAAAGCTGTTAGAATTAATAAATGAATTCAGTAAAGATGCAGGATACAAAATCAACATACAAAAATGTGTTGCCCTCCTACATACTAATACTGAACTAGTAGAAAGAGAAATTAAGAAAACAATCCCACTTATGATTGCATCAAAAGGAATAAAATAAATTTAGAATAAATTTAACCAAGGAAATGGAAGACCTATATGCTGAATGCTGTAAGGTTTTGATGAAAGAAATTGAAGATGACACAAATAAATGGAAAGATATACCATGTTCATGGATTGGAATATTTAATATTATTAAAATGTCCACACTATCTCAAACAATCTACAGATTCAATGCAATCTCTATCAAAATACCAATGGCATTTTTCACAGAACTATAACAAGTAATCCTAAAATTTGTATGGAACCACAAAAGATCCCAATTGCCAAAGCAATCTTGAGAAAGAAGCATAAAGCTGGAGTTATCGTGCACCCTGATTTCAAGCTATCCGACAAAGCTACAGTGATCAAAACAATATGGTGTTGGCACAAAAACAGACACACAGCTTAACGGAACAGAATAGAGAGGCACAGAAACAAACTAACACTTATGTGGACAATTAATACATGACAAGGGAAAGTCTATTTTAATTTGCAGTTTCTAAATCATTTCAGAGAAGGCCTGTGAATATGTGGAAGCATGAACAGGAGCGCCAGCGCATGATGAGTCAGATATTGATGCTCCTTTGACCTGCTGAGCTTTAGGGGGGTGCATGAAAGCGCTGATGTGATTATTGTGTCACTGGAGCCTCAGAGTAGCCCTGAGGAGCAGGCAGGATAACCCCGTTTCACAAATAAGATAATTGAGGCTGAGAGGGGTGAAGGGAGCCATCCATGGCCACAGGCAGGTGTTGGCAGTGGGATTTGGGCAGAGCCTTCTGATTCTTGCAGGCCTCCTTTTTCTACTCCAGAAGCAGTGGGCTGTGCGGTCAGACCCCCAGGGACATCCCGATCTGTTGTATTGGGCATGTCTTCCGCTCTGCACTTCCACATCCTCTTCTAGGAAGTGGGGATAACCAGGAACGGCTACATAAGTTGCTGGGCTTGGTGCAAAATGAAAATGCAGGGCTCTTCATTCAAAAGCACTAAGAATTTCAAGATGGCAACATCAGAGCATTAACCCTAGCACGGGGCTGTCTAGGACTGCCCGGGTCCCTCACTCACAAAGCCGGCCCTGGGGGTAATGACACTATTTCACAGGCCGTTGTCAGGATCAGATAAGGAAACAAATATCCAGCCCTTAACATGGTGCCTGCTATTCTTATACGTTGTCCAGACAGTCATACTTCAAAAAATATTCTTAAGATGATGAGACCTACCAGTGCTACATCGGTCATGCCACAAGGAAGATTCCCTGCACTGAGCAGCCATCCTGTTGGTCCCTAACCAGCTGAGGGGCCTGAGCTGATCTCTGCACCCTTACATCCTTTCCTGGAAGCCACCTGAGATGAAGCCACTTGACTACATCTCTCCCCAAATTTTCAGGTCTTACCTGCATTTTCCTCAGTCCCTGACCAGCAGGTCTACCATAGGAAGGGGACAGAAGGCCAGCATATGAGAACATCACTCTATACCCCACCCGCTTCCCTCCCTACTCATGTTTTAAGCACTGCTGCCCACAGTTTGGGGCCCCAGGGATGAACCAGGTTTGACGGTGTGTTATCTACACGGTGAGAGTGAGGGCCAGGCCCAATGCCCAGTTTCAGCCCCCATCTGCTACCAACAAGCTGAGTGCCAGGGCTCAGCCCACTCCTTCTGGCCTCAGTTTCCTAATCTGAGGAATGGTACTTCCCACCTCATCTTCCTCCCCAAAGAGGCTGTGAAGACCAGCTGGACTCTTATACATGAAAACTGTCTGCCAACTGTAAAGAGCTTTACCCACCTGAGGGTAATCTAAGTTACCAAGGCATGTGCGGGGCATGGAGAGGCCTGGGTCAGGGACCAGCTACTTTGGGAAGCATGGTCACATGCAGCAGGCAGGGCTGGCACCTGAGATTGCCCCCAGCGCACCTGGTTGGTGAAGATCTGCTGAAACAGGATCTGTTCCCCCACATCAGTGTTCCAGGGAGTGCTGCCTGTCTGGATGCTCTGGTGCCCAAGAGCACCCTCCCCCAACCCCCCGTGGGGTTCTCCCCTCCCCTCCAGCTGGGCCTGGGAGCTGAGCTGGAAGGTTACACATGCAGGTCACTCCAGGGATGCTCACTTAGTGGGCAGTGAGCTGGACCCAGCCTGAGCTGGCAGAGAGGGGCCAGCTGGGTGCAGGGCAGCACGGGCCAGCATTGAACAGTCTCCTGGGCTGGAAGGGCAGCAGGGACACAGCAGGGACATCAGGGTGCAGGTCCTGGGAGGAAGAGCCCTCCTCCACCTGGGCAAACAGGCGTTCTTTACATCCAATCCTAACTCCTGCTGCCAGGGAGCACATTTCCTCTTTGGGCTTTGCAAAGGCAGAGAGGCTGAAGAGGGAAGCCAAAGGCTGCTGACAGGCCTGGGACACAGGGCAACCAGAAAAACAAAGCCAGAGAATAATCCCACCAGGCCCAGGCGTGCCCTGCCAGGCAGGCCACCGCGCGGCAGGGCAACACAAAATTCCTGCAGCAGAGGGCAAAGCCCAGGGGCGCGTCAGCCCTTTGCAGTAGGTACGAGCCAGTTCCCTGTGGAACCGCTGCACACGGGGACTGCTGTTCAAACACGCTCCCGGCTGGCTGCGGCCCATGGCGGCTGACGTAAAGAAGCTGTGCAGCCATGAGCTAATTCCTCTGGCTGCGGGGAGCCAGGTGGGTGCAGCTCAGTCTTTCAGCCAATACCTTGTGGCATTATGACCTAATCTGTTTGCTTGGATAGCTTTCAAACCCACTTCCTAGATGGGCTCTGAAGGCGGGAAGGATGCAGGCAGCTGCTGACCCGTGCTCACCCTCTCTCCCTTCTCTCTCACAGGGGTTCAGGTCCTATGAGGCCATTCCCCGGCAGCATGTCTCCCTCCCTATCGCCCTCCTTCTCCTAAGGATCTCAAAAGCCATCCTCCCCCTCTGGATTCACAGGCCCATGCCTGTAGCTTCTAGCCCAGGGTTCTTTACTAGAACCACTTCATTCCTTTTCCAGAATACACAATCTTTCCAACACTCTCCACCCACTGAAACCACACTCTCTCCTGCCCTGGTGACTTTGCACAAGATGATCCCTTAGCCTGGCTCCCTCCCTTCTACGCCTCAGTTCCCAGGGATTTTCTCCTTCAGGAAGTTTTCCTTTACTTGCCCAAGCTGTGTGTGTCCGGTATGCAACCAGAGTCCATGGGGAAAACAATTATGTCATTGCAAGAATGTTAACTAATGCTGACTCAGGGCACCCAGGCCAAGCATTGTTCTAGGAGCTGTATAGGGACTAATACATTTAATCCTCATGACGGCCCTGCAAGGCAAGGAATGGCATTGCTCCATTACGCACAGAAGGAGACTGAGGCACACAGACGTTGAGTAGCTTGCCTGACGTCAAGGAACTAACAAAGGTGAAGCTGGGATGTGCACCCCTGCAGCCCAGTTCCAGGCTGGCTCATAGCCAGTGGGGTACTGGCCTCTCACGCCAGACCATTTTTACCAGACACTTCCTTGATGTTCTCTTTTATGCTCTGTGTGAGGCTGGGAACCGGGCTTTGGACCCTGGAACCCCCAACACTTAACACCATACTTCTGTTTTAAACATTTGTGGCATGAATGAGGGACCCCCCAGGCCCCGCTGCCCTCACCTCTAACCCCATCCAGCCTGTGTTTGCCCAAGTCTGAGCTGGTCACATAGGCTCAGAGATGCAGACAGGACCTGGGCTTCCTGCAACGGCAGCTTCCCCACCTGTCTTCAAGACACCTGCCCTGACTGTGGACTTGCAGACACAGGAGGCATGGGTCAGGCCCTGCAAAGACAGGAACAGTCTCACCCTGTACCAAGTGCCAGGACTGAGAGCTGGGGCACCCAGCACCACAGGGACAGCTTGGGGACCTCCTCTGTGCCCAGCATCATGAGGCAATTTCTCCCCGGCATCCCTTCCCTCTTCTGGAAAGAGCATTTCCCCATCCGGGTGCTTCATGTGGGGCTGACATTCCCTCTGTCACCTCAGGGTGGGCACATGACTCACGCTGGGCCAATCAGAGCCCTCCTAGGTTTCTGTGCTAGAACCATCCAGAAGCCGGCCAGGTTCCATGATGGCCTGGCACTGCTGGGGGCCAACTGGCTCGCCAAGGGAGAGGGTCACCCAGCAAACAAAGCCAAGTAGAGAAGATGGTTTGAGGTCCTCGTCAGGCCCTGTTGGAAGCCACCCCACCTGACCTTGATTATCTAGCTTATATTTTCTCTTTTTATGCTTAAGCTACTTTGAACTGAGTTTCTGACATTTGTAACCAACATAAACATGTGTTGGACAAAGAATATAAAATAACATGGTGGATAGTTGTTGATACTTGTTTGCCATTTCCTGCTTTCAGGGGGCTCCCCGTTCGGTGGGGGACAGCAGGCAGGCGGGCCACCTCTCTGAACCTGGAGGGTCACTCCTCTCCCTCCTGGCCCACCCTGGCAACCAGCTGTGAGCGCGTGACTTGTTGGCCGCCAGTCAGATGCGCGCGCCCTGCCTCTGAATCTGCGGTGTGTGAGGCCTGGATGGAGGGAGGTCAGGATTCACTTGTGGCCACATCGAGGCCTGAGGGCAGATGTGAAGGGCAGGGGAGGTGGCATCATCTTAGCCAAACATTATACTGTTAGAGAACAAGAAATATATATTTGGTCTCTGTCCCCAGTTGCTGACACAGGGCTCCTAAAACCCTGTGATTTCCTAAGTGATCAGAGCAGAAGGACTATTTCTTATAATATCTGGTTTTTGTCCCCAGTTCTTGAAATAGCTCAAGAGCATAAAGGCGAAAGGAGTATCTTTTGTTAATCATAACAAAACCAGGGCCTTTCAGCCCACCTGAGTTTATGTTAATGAGGTGACTTTGGAAAGCCCCTCCGGATGGGGACTGGCTGCGGGCAGAACCAGCCACGTGACTGGAGGGTCGGAACTTTCAGCCCCACCCCAGACCTCAGGGAAGGAGAGAAGGGCTGAGATTGAGTTCATGACCCACAGCCAATGCTTTAATCAATCAGGCCTATGTCATGAGGTGTCCATAAAAACCGTAACGGAAGGGGTTCAGTGAGCTTCCAGGTCGGTGACATGTGAAGGGGCCGGGGGACCTGGGGCTCACAGCAGGCGTCTGATGGGGGGCTGTCTATGCGACTGAAGCCTTCACCTGTGGGATCTGATGCTCACTTCAGGTCGATAGCATCAAACTGGAGTTAAATCGCTGCACACCCAGTTAGTGTCTGCGGAGAACTGGAGGATTGTTTGGTGTGGAAAACTCACTATCTGGTGCCAGAAGCATCTGGGGGTGCTGTGTGGGTGAGAGTCTAGCACCCGTTGAGCTACGCTCCCACAAACCATTTATCTTACGGGCTCCTGCTCTGTGCTCTTTGTCCTGCCCTGGGTCTGCCTGTTCCCTTCCCCGGGTCCTGCCAGCTCTGCAAATGCTCTCCTGTACCGTGGTTGTCTGTTGCTTATACCGAGAGCCCTGGCTGAAATGTGAGGGAACAAACGATTCCACAGGGGAGGCCAACTATGTAACTGGAGCCAAGCAGTGTCATAATATAGCATGAGAACCAAAAAAGTCTCCCCTCGAGGGTGGATGACCACTGTCCTCTAAAGCTTTTAAAGCATCAGTCTGCATTCAGAGTTGCTATGTTCCCTAATTTACAATCTACTACAGTGCTTGATGAGGACATAAAACAGGTTCCTCATGTGTGATTTACACTTACTGCCCCTCCCAACAGCAGTGCCACCTGTGGGTCCTTGGGCATAAACTGACATGCTCTGGTTTTAGGACCCAGAGGGGCCACAGGCTCCTTGCACATGTGACTGGGGCCCTGCGCACCCTCCAGGCCAGCCTTGGCCTCAGCAGCAAAGCAACAGGCACTGACAGCACACGGGACGTGAATGCAGGAATGGCCCCTTAAGACCCCATCCCATCCCCCCAGACCTGCTTTCTGATGGAGTTCAGATCCTTCAGGGGCCACAGCACAGCCAATCACTGCATAATGTACCCCCGCAGGACCTAGACCAAGCAGCAGGCCTCTCCTGGGCTGCATGCCTCTGGCCTGTGTCTGCTGCTGCCCCTGCCCACCCACCTTACCGTCTGTGAGCTGTCACACTCCTGAGACAGGATGGGGTGGGATGGGGTCCCTCCTCGAATGGGAGCACCTCTGTTCAGCATGCTGTGTGTATCACCGGGGCTAAAACCCCTGTGAGAGCATCACTCCCTAGGCTCAGGGGCCGCTGGGCTGCGGCTTCCTACTCCCCAGACAATGCCTGCGGGGGTCGGGGGCTGCAGGAAAGGGAACTGAAGCACCCACCCTGACTTCTGGGTGAGGCCCACCTCCTGCCTCTCAGCAGCCCCTCTCCTGAAAATGGGGTTATAGCTGCGTGCGCCCTGCAGAACCCCAGCAACAATGAAGCAAGGTGTGGGGGGAAACGGCCAGCTTTTTAGTTTATAAACTTAAAAAAATTCAGGATGGCACAGGCCACAGCTCACACCTGAATCCCTTCCTTTCCTTTTCTAAAGTAGCTGAGCCCTTTTTCCTTCCCAGGTGGGTGAGAGGTCTGCAGGTCTGGGGCCTGAAGGCAGAGCAGAGACTGGGTTTTATCATAAAACCCCCATGTTTATCTTAAATGCAGAGCCCGGGCCCAGACTTGGGACCAACCTCTGGCCGTGCAGGGAGATCAGGAAATTCCAGTGGGTGCCCTGCCGGCTTGCAGGAGTGCCAACAACAAGGATGGGAGGCCAGGGGACATGGCCCTGCGCCCCACAGAGCTGCCCCCAGAGGCCAGGGAGCTTCACGGAGCTGCCAGAAAGCGTGCTTTCTCTCCCAGTCAGAGGTTGCCATGGTGATCAAAGCAGGCGGGGACACCCGCTGGTCTGGCCCTGCACAGATCATCTTTCCAGGCTCATCTTTATGCGGGGGTACTGACCTGAGCTGGTGTTGGGAGTGCCTGGGATGGGGGAATGACATCTTGCAGAGACCAGACCCTTGGCACCAATTCTGTGTGCATGGTGGGGTGGATTGTGTGGGGCATTGTGTGCATGTGAGCATGTGTGTGCGTGTGTGTGTTATTGTTGCATGTGTGCTCTGGGGGTGTAGTGGGGGATGCTGATGAGGGGAGTTGGGTGATATCAGGGTTGTGGTGTTTTCTGCAAATGCACCCACATCTACACCTCGAGGACAGCATACCCACAGCGGCTGCGTGCTGCCATCAGGAGAACCCGCCGTTTCCACTTCCTGGAAGCCCTCAGTTTGCTACCTGCACCATCCCTCAGCAGCAGAGCCTTGTGGAAAGTCAGCCATTCTTCCCAAGAGTCTGAAGTCGTGCTCCCTGCCCTCAGCCCTCGCACACCCACTTCCCTCACATCTGCTCGGATGTCACCTCCACAGAGACCAGCTCGGACTACCCTCTCAAGACTCTCTCACTTGAGCTAATTTAAGCTGGGGTCCCTGGCCATCAAAAGGTGCCCGAGTCACCTGCCCACGTAGCCTGTGAGATCTTGGAGAGCACCGTCTGTCTCTGTCTTCCCCATACTTCTCAAAATCTACTGGCTTGGCATAACCAATTAATTTAAACGCATATTTTCTGTACAAGTGAAAGAAATATGTAAGTGCCACTTTTTCTCTATCTGAATACAGAAATTCTAGGGATCAAGAGGAAGAGTGGGAGAGAACCATTTCCCAGTGGCCACTGTGTGCCAGGCCCTGGGCCAATGTCTGGTAACGCCCTTGAAATGACGCCGAGGCAGGACCAGTATTTCCCCTACTTAAAGGTCATATGCAGGTCGGTGACGGAGGAACCTCTTCGGCCTGCCTTCCAGCTCCGCCGTGACCACATCCCCAAATGGCTTCATATGTAGAAGAGCGACAGGGAAATGCGCTTTACAGCATGTCAGTGTTTTAAAGCCCAGTGTTCTGGAATCCCAGGGCAAGTCCTAACATTTAAATATTCTCATGGCAAGGTTGGTTTTCCTTTGGAATGATCTGGGCGGGTGAGGATGAAGAGACACAGCACCCAGACTGAAGTCCGTCCTTCGCAATGCTGGGGAGCGAGGCTCCTGCCGCGTGTGGGTCTCTGTCCCAGGCTAGGGCCCTCCCTCGTCCCAGGGCAGCACCTGGCCTCCAGGAGACCTGAGCCGAAGGACAGTTCTGCCATTCGGGACTGTGAAACTCCCCCAGACAAATTATGTGACTTCCTGGAACTTGAATGAAGCATCTGGCACAGGACAGAGTGCAACTCACTCGCCCCTGGTGTTTCTGCTGGGGAACGTGGTGGCCCCGGGCCAGTCCCAGAGGCAGCTGCCATGCATGGGCCTGAGACAGCCGGCACTGGGGGACAGGCAGATGGGTGTGAGGCCCCATCCCGGAGTTCAGAATGTGCAGGGAGTCCCAGCGGGCTGTGCTCCCGGCTCCCCTTGGCTTTCCTGCTCCAGGAAGCCCCAGGCCGACTCCCACCCAGGGGGCTGGCCCTGCCGCTGGGAGATGGAAATGAGACAACCATTTGGGACAGATGGAGTGGGAAGACAAAGAGCCCCTAGCCTGGGAGTCAGTGCAGGGTCCCCGTCCCACCTTCAGTGACTGTGGCGACTCACTTCCCCTTTCAGAGCTTCGGCTTCTCTCCCTGCAAAATGTGTGATTTGGTGCAATGGCCTCTACACTTCCTTCCCCACAAACACACGCAGTGTCCAGACCGCAGCAGCTGGTCGGTGGAGTTGTCACTGTGTCACAGAGGTCCACCCACGGGCGCGAGGGGCGGAGGAACCCACTTACTCACGTTCCCCTGGTGTGTCTCCCGTGAGGCCTGGTTTGGATGTCCGGGGCTAATGGCTGCACCTCAACTTGTTATTCAAAGCTTCTGTTTCCACACCTGGAACAAGAGTGGTCACAGACATTTTGAACTCATACTGCAGGTTATGAAGTTTTCCCCATACACTATGGCTGGGGCAGGAGAGGCTTCCTGAAGAGTTACGCCATAGAGAAACAGCAACCCAGAGCCGTCACCAGGCTTGTCTGGGGTCACACAGCTCCATCAGTGTGGCCGGCTGGGCTTGGATTTGTCCTTTGACTCCAAGTGGAGCTTCTTTTGAATAGAATACAGGGAAATCTTGCTTTGTCTCACTTGCTGTTGTGAGGCAAGGATCTGTGAAAACACTTAAGACCTCTGCACTTTCAAAGTGCTGGGTCGATGCTGAATAATTAATGGATTCTGCCCCTGGCTGCTTCAAGCAGACACGGGCCTCCAGCCACAAGGCTGGAATGTGGAAACCTTTCCCATCATTTTGTCCAGTGAAAGGAGTTGCTGAGAAAATTGCCAAGAAAGAGTCTTGCTTCCCTGTTGGTGGAGGGAGAGGCCCTGGGTCCTAATTTATTGCCTCACTGAAAAGCAAGGAGAAAGTGCGGGGCTGCTGCAGGGAGGGGCTGCTGGGCCATCCAGCGTAGATGCCACAGTGTCCCTTCCAAGGCTGCGAGGCCCTGGGAAAAGGCTGCTCAGCAGTGACAGGCAGGGAGAAAGGTGCCTGAGAATCAGAGTCCCGTAGAAGACGGGAAGGGGAGTGTGCAAATTACCATGGGAAATGCAGTCTGAAGGAGAGGCTCTTCTCCATGGGCTGCTGGCAGACAGATGCCTGGGGAGGGGCTGAGACAGCCTGTTGCCACCCCAGTGACCACCGCATGCGACCACAGCACCGCATGGACCAAAGGCCGTGGCAATGGGGATTAGGGACAGAAAGTGGGCACAGAGTAGCCCTTAAAACGGTGTGCAGAGATAAAAGTAGAACACATTTTGAGCAAGTTTCCTTCTGGTTATAAGAACAGGGAACGTTTCACAGTCGAATGAAACCTTTTCCAGCTAAGGAACACTACAGCATTCTCTGTGGGATGCGACCCACCACTGGGTCTCCTAACGGGTTTGTCTCAGTCCCCAGCAGGGCAGATCTAAATCTGCAGGATAATTGGCTTCAACGTCAAATAAGCAGAATCAACAAAGTCCAGCTGCAATGGGAATTTGCTCTGATAATTGGCTCTGCACTTTCTCTGTATTGCAAGTTCAAAGCCCAAAGGTTTAGAAATGACTTCCCTAAGGAGTTGCATGGTGTGCTCCATGCTTCACTGTCAGACTGTCTGGGCCTGCTGAGATCTCAGGGGTGGAAGGTCCCTGTGAGTCCACTGTGTTTGGGCAGGGCCTGTCCTAAGGACACAGGGTGCCTGGCTGCCTGGCTGGTGATGTCCTGTGCTGCCTGCAGAACCCGAGGCTCAGCTCTGTGTCCACACCAGGGCTTGGAGGGGACATTTGGCTCAGGCACCCCACTTGTGCTGGCTCCAGCTGAATGTGGCTGGGCTGCTGAGCTGTCTGACTCACAGCTCACAGAGGAAGGAACCTGGAGCAGGTCAGGGGTGGGGCAGGGCTGGGTGTTGGTGGACATGGGTTGATAGCCCAGCCTCAGCTCCTACTAATTCCATGGCCCTGGGTAATTGATTTAACCCACTAGGCCTCAGGTTCCTCATCCATGAAGTGGGGATCCTAATAGAATCTATCTCAAAGTCCTGGGAGGATCTGACAAGATAGCATATATGTGATTTCTCATTACACCTTTAACAGGACTGGCACCTCCTGCCCATGACAGCAGTGGCTTGGGCAGTGGCTCTCCTTGGCCTACCGAAAGGCAGATGGCTGCTAAGCCACGCAAGTTAACTCATGCAGATCTGTGTGCCCAGAATGTCTAGACCACCAGTGTGCCATCAGCCCAGTACTCAGATTGTCCATTTTTTTTATCTGCCATCCTGCCTGGACTCTGCACTCACTGAGGACAGAGCCATTGTCTTAGGCTCCCTTAATAGCATGTCTATCACTGATCTTTAAATGCTTCACAGATGCAGCCAGCGCCTGTGTGGGTCATTAGGCTAGCTGCAGCGAGCTGCATTCCACAGGGGGGCGCTCATTTTGGGCCTCCCCACTCCTGGCCAGCAGCCCCTGCAGAGCCCAGAGCGGCCAGGGCAGGTCCCTCTGCTGTCCCTCTCCTCAGTGCCGGGCGCTTGGTAACTAGCAGAGTAAATGTTAGGAATGCATTCTTCTTGGTAAAAAGAGGTATTCAAGATATGTGGGTTGGCCAAACTCATTTTGAGACACTCTTGACCCCTGAAAGGGTTGGGGAAAGAATCCAGTGAGATCCAGGGAAGGTGCGGTCAGGGCACCTGGAGAGACAGGTGTATGCAACTTCACTGCCCTCAAAACAGGCTGTGTGGCCTCTGCAGGGCCCATTTGCACATCAGTCATTGCTCAAGAAATGTCTGCACAGGTGGCAGATTTGCCCGAGGCTTGCTTCATTCACCCAGACAGGGAGGCTGGCCTTCACCTTCCTCTAAATATTCAGAGACAAATACAGAGACAGGCATCTCCAGGTCCCCAGGGCACAGCACATGTAAATAATCGCAGGACAAGGAAAATAGTGTCACCTTCAGTTTGAGGGTGGACTGGCTGGAGGTGGGGAAGGGCCCTAAGCGGCCTCCCAGTCACGGATCCTGATCTGGAACCTTCCTGGGTACACGTCATGCTGAGCGTTCTCCAGCTGGCCTGCCGGGGCCCAGGTGCCCAGCCCACATGCAGAGGCTCTCCCAGCCTCCTGGAATGAGGAAATCCTGCTTGGCCCTCAAGAAGCCTGAAACCAGGGCCAGGGTGGAGACTGCTATCTGGGCCCCTAGTGTACCTGGAACCCTGCTCCGAGCTGGGCCTTCCCTTCAAGGTCCCAAGGGACAAGGCCTATGAGGAAGTTTTCGGGACCCATTCTCAGCTTCCACATTGAAGAACTACCTGAGGGAAATTTCTGGCCATACTGGAGAGATCATGTTTGAGAAGTAGGGGCTCAGTCAGCCCCCTGGGGGAAGCTGAACCCCCATGCCTTTCTGGGGCCTTGGTGGGAGGAGCCCTTCCTTGATGGGCACTGTGGGCAGGAGGCAGCCGCTGCCCTCCCAGAGCTCAAAGGGGACTTCTGGGGTGAGCTGCTTTCCCCTTGTCTTCCCTTTCTCTCCTACACACACCTCTCCAGAGAGAAGCTGGGGTGAGGTTCTGGGCAGGGCAGCGCTGGGCTGCTGGGCACCAGGGCAGCCCTCCTGACCATGAGAAGCTGACATCTGCCGTCTTCCAAACCCATGCTGGCAACCTCACCCTCTGCGGCAGCACAGACCCTACGGGCTGGTCCCAGCATTCCTTCTAAAGCCCTCCCCTACCTCTGGTCACCTCCTTTCTGCTCCCACCACCGCTGCTCCGCACCCCCTCACCCTTGGAGGGCTGCTGTGGAATTCACCTTCCTTCCTTCCAGTTCACCCAGTCTGAACCCCAGGGGCATTTGCACACCCAGAACCCTCCTGGTTAATCCTAACGGGTTTACAATGAGTGAGTGTTACCCGCCTCAGCCCTAGTCTGCGAATGAAGAAGCCAACTGCTCAGATGATGATTCACCCTCCACCTTGGCATGGAGCTGAACGCCCCAGTCAAGCACAGAGCTGGTGCTGGAGAAGCTCGGCTCCCAGAAGGTTCTGTGAATCCCAGGTGCCCCTGGAGGGCTCAGGGATTCTCCTCTAGCAAAATCTACCCAGAGGAAACCGAGGGAGCTTGTGAGGAGACTGACAAGCTCTAGGCAAGGCCTCCATAGTTAGAGGCTTCTTCCCCGTTGGCCTGGGGCTCTGTAGAAGTCTCAGCAAATGGTTTGGCAGGGCCTTACTTTCCAATTAGAGTCCCTCTTGGAGGGAGGCCAAACTGGTAGGTATGGAAGCAGGGCTGTTAATTTGGTGGAAATCCATGCGTGTAATTGGGAGGAAAAGACGGGAGCAAGTGCTTGAGAGGTTGGGGTTCTTCGGGAGGGCCAGGAGCAAAAGGGAGGTGAGAGAGGACCCGTCTCTCCACTTCAGACAAGCAGGGTTGAAGTGAGCCAGGCCTGGCTGCAGAGCCTTTCAAGCTTCTGATACAAGAAATGGCTTTCCTGGTTCCACAGGGTCCCTCGAGACAGCAAGGGACATTCTTAGGTCACAGGACTAGCCCCGCCACATTCTTTCATCATCTCTGGGTGTGACTGGCTTCGCCCCCCTCTGGGCCTCTCTCCTCGGATCACCTGAGGTGGCCTTCCTGTGACAGCACTGTCTCCGGAGCCAGGCACAGGAGGCTGAATTGCTCTGCTGTTTCACCAGCCACCAAGTTACTGAATCTTTTGGTGTCCCAGGGGCAAAACGGAGAACTAATGTCCCCTCGAAGGCTGACTGTGAGGACAGAATGGCCGCTGGACGTGAAGGATTTTCATGCAGCGCCTGATCAGCAAATGCACTCGGGAGAGAAAAGCTGTCGTCTTCATCTGCTCGGAGTACTGCTGGGCCGCTCTGCCGAGCCCCTTTAAAACACGCTCGCAGAAGCCAGCCGACTCGGTCAGGCTAGAGGCACCTGGGCTACTGTCCTCCCCCAGAGCTTCGCCTGGCATGCTCCTCTCTCCCTGGGGTGCCTGGTGGCGGCGGGACTGTCTCTGGTGCCTGGGAAGGGAGGCGGCGTCAGAGCCACGTCCCCCTGGGCACTTCGGGAATTGCCCTGTTGGTGCGGACTTGGTCTCACCACCGGGGATTCACCAAGAATGGCTGGGAGTTGTTGGAAACTTAATTTGGGAGAACAAGCCTGTGGGTTTAAGACAGCAGCTGTGGCCCACTAACCTAGAACCAGCCCGCCCCCAGATCTTCTCAGGAGGAACTACACACAACTGGGAATGAAAAGCAGAAAAAGGCAATAAGCGTTGTTTAAAAAAGCAGACCCTCCAACCTGACTTGGTGGAAAGAGACACCTGCCCCCCTGCTGGGCCCGCAGGCCTTCCTGCCTTCACGTACGGGCCTGGGGTGCCCAGCTCATGGCCGACCTGCTGGTGCCCTCGTGGGCGTGGTTCTCAGCCCTTCGGAACACCCGGGGGCCCAAGTGCCCTGGGTCCCTTCTCCCGAGCTCCGGCTGGCATCCTCGGGGCAGGAACTTCCATGTCACTGAGCCTCAAGTAGAGGGGACAGGGTGGGCTTGCAGATGACCAGGGTCTGGAGCAGACCTGGGAGACTGATGGGGGTCCTCAATCCACAGCCTGTGCACCCCAGTCCCCACCCAGATCTCCGCCCGGAAGGGGCTGGCAGGCGGTGGGAGCTGGGGCCCGGCAGTGCTGTCCCCCTGCCCCCTGGGGAAGGGAGCCCCGGGGCAGGTGAGGCAGGACCCTGCCCTGCCCTGCGGGGTGGCCGACCCGGGCGCTCCCCCAACCCCACCGCCTGCCCTGGGGACCGCGTGCCGAGCCCCTCCCCTGCCCGGACCCACCTTCGGGGGCTCGCGGAGGCCCTTCCAGGGGGGCCGCTGAGGTCCCCGCCTCCTCCCGACGCGGCCGGCCTCGGGCTTCTGCCTCCCGGCTCTCGCGCTCCCGCGAATTCTCAGCACTATTCTGTTTTAAGGGACTTCTTTTTTTTTTTTTTCGTTGCGTCAGGACGGTTGCCTGGCAACGACAGAGCCATTCCACAGTGAGCGCGCCGTCCGCGTCCCCCTGCCAGCCTCTCGTTCACGCCTCTCGGCGCGGCTGGGGACCCGGGACGCGCGGGGTGCGGGGCGCGCAGCCGGGTCCTAACGCCCTGCTCGCTGCTCGCCCGGCCGGACCAGAACCACTGCGGCCGCCGCCGCCGAGAGCAAACCTCGCGTGCTTGCCAAACCCCAGACGAAACCAAACCTAAGTAGCCATTAAAAAAAATTAAACCCCAAACCAAGGCAGATTTCCCCAGAGCAGGGCCACGTGGCTTTGCCGCGGTCAGCAGTTTGCCTGCGTGGAAGGGGCAGGAGAAGCGCCTTCCAGCCCAGCCGGCCCTCCACCCACCAGCAGCCCGAGTTCAAACTGCCAACTGAGCGCCCAGCGCGGGCCGCACGGGCACGGCAGGGCAGAGGGGCTTCTCCAGCCCACAGATGAGGAGACTGAGGCTCAGAGAGGCTAAGCAGAAACTAGAGGCTAAGTAGACACTGACTCTCCAGCCTGTCTCCAGGGCCAGCTGGGAGGTGTCCAGGGGGCCGTCCCGGAGCACATGCTCGCTCCGCAAACCACACGTGTCTCATGGCATGTGATGCTTGTACTGCGTCAACCACTAGAGATGTTACGCTGAAGACCCAATTCATGCGCTGGCGCCCGGCCTCCAGGCATCCAGGGACACATGGGGCAGCAGCAAGGGCTGTCCATCCTGGCCCTGAGGAGCGTCCTAACTGCAGACAAGGGGCTCCAGCCCAGATCCAGGAGTGGGGTGTGCTCTGCCTCCTTCTGGGACTCTTGCCCCCACAGCTGATTACTGGAAGTTGGCCTCATTCTCTGGGCAGCCTAACACATGGCCAAGTTCCTTTCCTAGATGCTTGGGGTTGGCAGAGCCTTTCAAAGTTATCTTATCTGCCATCCTCCCAGCAGCACCCGGGTGCGGGGCAGACATTACTATCTCCAAGGACAGAGTCCACGCTGGCACCTGGGGCTGCCAAGTGACTTGCCTCAGGTGGCATGGGTAAGTGGCTGGCCTTGTTTATTGTGGTGACTCAGCCCCTGCAGATGTACGAGCCCCTTGTGCCACCTCCTGGTGCCTATATTTCCCGGATGTAACTCCTGGTCTGGACGGGGCCCCACTCCCCTCCCCACTGCACCAGGCTGTCTGCTAAGGAACTTGGCCTAAGCAGACACCTGCTAATATGAGCACCTCTGTGTACTAACAGGTAATGCGTATAAGCCAGCAAGTGCACATGAACAGGGATGTCTGGGAGAGTCACGGCATCGACCCAAATTCTTGATTCTAGTTCCTAAGTATGGATGCAGCTTTCCACTTCTTTCCCTCCCTCTGCCACCACCCCACCCCAGCGCCAGCTACAGCCTCTTGCTGACCATCCTGCACCTGCTCTTGACCCTTCCATCACCTCCCCACGGGAGCCTCCTCTCCAGACAAAACAGACTCTTCAAAATGGAAATCCGTTCCTGGCTTCCTGCTCAGAGCCCTCCAGCAGCTCCCATTCCCCAGGATTAAAACCCAGCCTGGCCCACCCACCCACACGTGCCCTGGCTCTGCCCCTCTTGAGCTCTGCCTTGCATTGACACTCTGCCGTCCACACAGACATCCTTCCAGGTCCTTCTGCACCCCTGCCCTTCACCCAGGCCACACTTGTGCCTCCTGAGGGATTCCTAGGTTACATGCCCTCATCACCCCACCAACTCTTCTTGGACCAGTTTTAATTTCACCTTTTTTTGGTGAGGTTATTTAATTAGTACCTGTGTCCCTCCAAGGCTGTAGGCTGGTGGGGGTTTGGACTCAGGCTTGCCATCCTCCCTGGCCGGCTGGCCCTGGGCTGCACACTGAGCGTTTGCCCCAATGCTCACCCACGTATTCCGACCCCAGCGGGTGAGAAGTGCCCCGACACCTTGGTGGAGCTGTCCCACCCCATCTGGGAACGCTTTCTGCCATCTTCGCCCGCCTAGCCCCTCATGTGGCCTGGGGCTCCTTTTTTTTGCTTTCTCCTGGGGCATCGTCTTGTGTCTTCACAGCCAGTCAGCCTGTCCAGGGAAGCATGGGGTCTCACCCTTGTGCCTCCCATTCTGCCCGGCATGTGCCTGGGTGGGAGGACGGCCGGTGCTGGGGACCAGGAGAGTCAGCAAGGGAGGGAAGAGGAAGGGGAGGAAAGAGGGCCAGGTCTCTGCTGGAGGAGTCTCAGCTCCACCATCTAACCACAGTGCAGCGGTCAAATAAGTTAGAGCTCCAGCGTGGGATAGAATGCAGCCGCACAGATTTTTTCTTTAAATGTTTGATGACACAGGAAAATGCTAATGATTTCATGCTAAGTAAATAAGACTGGCATACCAAATGTCTAAGTAAATAAGACATTATGAAACCTTTAATTCTAACATCTAATGTCTAATTACATGTGTAGAAAAAAGATTGGGGGGAGGGTATATGCAAATGTTAGCTATGGTTACCTCTGTGTGGAAGGATAACAGGATTTAAAATTTCTCCTATACTTGCCTTAATTTTCTATGTTTTCTACAATGAACAGTTTTTGTGACTGGCAACATCAAGACACTACTACAAAGAAAAGATGGCTCTGTGTTTGGGTACCTGATGTCCCCTGTTTGTATAGCGCTGCCTTTTATGTGCAGTGCTGTGAGGCCAGGCTGGAGCCTGCTGCCGGGTGGGGGATCCCACCTAAGGGCTCTTCCCCTCCAGCTGGCCTTTTGGACCAGGGAATGTCGGGCTGAGCCTGGTGACAGTGTACTGATTCTAGAGTCACCTTTCGGACCAGTCCTCTCGATTCAGTGTGACTTTCAAGAGGCAAGTGAAATGATGTGTGAGCTGGCTGGCCCGGGTATCTGGACCGCCTCAGTGACCTTACATGTTACACAGTTGTGTCCTTTCCAGCGGTCCCAAGATGAGTGAGACATCATCTCTTCCGATCCTACAGAGATGCTGCGCAATGGGAAATTCAAGGAATAGTCTCCCTATCTTTCCTACAAGAACACCAACTTGGAGAGCTTAGGGGACTCACCAAAGTCACACAGCGGCTAGTGGTGGGCCCCGGGACTGACTCTAAGTCTAGGGCACTTCCTCCACTACCACTGACCCTGCAGTTCCTCCAGGCAGTGGGCAAAGCCGTGACCACAGGGTGCCTGATGCATGCACGGTGGGCCATGATGACCTCATCAATAAGGTGACTTTCAAGAGAAGATTTGAAGGAGATGAAGGAGTTGGTCTTGAGCTCTCAGAGGGCAGGGAATTTCCAGGTGGAGGGAACAGATAGTGCAAAGGCGCCTTGTGAGCAAACGTGCCTGACACAATCGGGGAAGAGGAGGGGCCCTCACACTGGAGTGCTTGGGAAGGGATCTGGGGGAAGCCAGCCTGGGAATCTTCCTACTCAGCCCCTTGCCAGGGATTCTAGCCCAGGATGGAACTCCCTAATGGGACAGAATCTCCCTCATACTTAGCTGTTCTGCCAGAGTCAACTCAAACAGACGGCCGCCATACGTGTTACAGCAGATGGGACACACGCTCTCTCTCCCACCCCATCCTGACCAGTGAGGTGGAGAGGAAGTCGATTGTCATGCACACATGGGGCTTCAGGGACCTTGGGTCTAGGCCTGGCTCTATCACTTACTATTGGGCTGCTTCGGTCAAATATCTAACTCTTTCATGCCTCAGTTTCCTTGTCTACATATTGTGGGTACTAATATCTACCACCATGGGTTGTCGTGAGGATTAGAATTAATGCCTATAAATGTCTGACATGAAGTTTGGTGCAGAGGAGGCACCCAGTAAGTGATGTCTCTTACCACACCTGTGCCCGGGGAGCTTACTCTTTACCTGCATTGCCTGAAAAGGGGCCGCCTGTCACTCACTCACTGCAGTCCAGCACACGGCACGAGCAGATGCTGAACAACGGAGCCAGCAGGACTCTGGAATGTCCCAGCTGCCTGGTTTGTCTTCTTTGAACACAAGGTAGCTCGGACTGGAATCTGACACCCAGAAAACAGGATGGCACATGGAGCAGACAGACATGCCCGCGGTCGGGCACAGGCTCAGAGCACTTTCCGGCAGGCAAAGCAGCAAGCCTCCTTGGCACAGTTCTCTGCCATCTACTGACTGACATCTTGGGATCGGGACTCTTTCTGGTTCCCGGAGAGCTGGTGCGGACAGGGAGAGGGCGCACAGAGATGGGCTTCCTTACTGCCCTCCAGGATGAGAGAACTGAGCTACAGATGACAGACTGATGAACACCCAGAGCCATCACGTGTGCAGAATCCCCTGACAAATCAGGTTCATGTTATGTTTCATGATCTAATCAAAATGTTTAGCAAACAGAACCAAACCTCCTTGAATCATGGTTGTTTGTGATGATGCCATAGGCTTATGAAGAGGAAAGAGAGAGAGACAGAGAGATGGAGGAGGGGGCAGTGGAGAGAGAGGGGGGAGAAGCAGGAAGGGACAAGGGGAAGTGGGAAAGGCAGAAGAGCGGAGCGAAGGGAAATGTTCAGAATGGCACTGTGGTCTAGATGTGTCCTGCCTCCTGATTTCACGTGGTGAAGTCCTAACCCCCAGTGTGCTGAGATTTGGAGGTGGGGCCTCTGGGAGGTGATTAGGTCAAGAGGGTGGAGTCCTCATGAACAGGATTAGTGCCCTTAACAAGGCCCCAGAGAGCTCCCTCGCCCCTCCTGCCATGTGAGAACACGGCGAGAAGGTGCCCGCTGTGCCCCAGGAGGCAGGGCCTCGCCACATACTGAGCCTGTACCTGGATCTTGGACTTTGAGCCTCCAGAATGGTGAGAAGCACATTTCTATTGTTTATAAGTGCCCCAGTCTGTGTTATTTGTTAGAGCAGCCTGGTTGGACCGAAAGGGACATGTTCTTCCTTGGCGACCTTCCAGGAGTCAGAGCCCATGTAGGTGACCAAGACTGCCACTGTGAACTAACAGCCTAACTGCCCCCCCTGCCCCCTCACCCCCTGATGAAGGCCCTGGACCCCTAAGAGGGCCAGGTGGCGGGGGGCTAAGAGCTGTGTGGCGAGGCCTACCCCTGCACACCCCACTCGGGACAGCTGCTGAGGCCTTCTCTTCGCAGGACTTGCTCTGTTCTCCCGGGACATGACCTCACTTTCTGAGCCAGTTTCCCCTGCGGGCATTTCTTCATCCTTGCAAGACAGAGCCCATGGCACTGACGGGTTTGGATTCTTTTTGAAGTTTCCCAAGGGGATGATCATGTGTTGGCAGCTGGGAGAGAGCAGCCCCTTAGAGTGACTGTAAAACCCTGTCAGACCCCAGCCCATCCAAGGGGCTCTTCGTACTCTGAGGTCCCATCATGCCAACGACTCAGGCCTATGGGATTGCAGGGTCTAA